ATTCCTACTCACCAACCATTCCTACTCTAGCTTTTTTCTTTTGACTAAAAGGGCCCTCTAAACGGTTTCCAAGAAAAATGTGAAAATCACTTTCACGCTTATTAAATATCGTGAATCCAACTACTTTTCAATTTTATTGCAAACCAAGACCAACAGAAAAGCAATGAAAAATTTCACCTAGAACATAAATAGCTTGATCTGTATCACGATAAAGTTTGTTTAAACGGCGTCATGTTCTATAGCAGTCTGTCAAAATGTTAATTTTGAAGTGTCATAAAAAGGACTAAAGGAACTTCTTTTGTTTTAAACATAATATATCCAACAACATCTCATAAGAGAAGAAACAAGATGGTAGTCAAAAGAAAAAATATAAAATTCAATAAATAGGACCAACGAGGAAGCAACAGTTAAGTCACGGGATAAGGAGGTATGTTAAATGGAGCACAATTAAATCAGCTATACACGTGATTCACTCGGAGGAAAAATCAGCAGACCATTGACATAAAACCTATTAAAAATTTCGCACGAATGAACGCAGAAAACACTGAAGTAAGTATATGTTTGGAAGATCCAAATCAGTCCACTAATAACAAATAAAAAAAAGCAGGAAAAAATAATTAACAATAACCTATTGCATTGCCGCATTTCTATCAGAAACCCTATTCAATTGCGGCCAACTTAGGGAAGTGGAAACTAAATTTACAAATAAGTGGGGTTTAACGCAGTATCTTATCACCAGGTACACCGCTTCATCCAATATGTTTCAAACAGACGTAATGTTTCTCAATATTTTAATAATATTCAGAGTGAGAGGTATTCGAACAACGGCTAACCAAAAGGGGAAGGCATTTTACTGTCCGGTATGTATTCAATGTTGTCTGGTAAAGTATCTTTTTCTTTCAGCTGATCCTAAAGAAAAAAGAATAAAAAAGCAAAGAAATGATTTCAGCTACAAAAAAGCAGCTTTGACTTACGTATCTATGAAAAGCACAACTTATTGGAATCCATACAACAAGCATGGCTAGTGCTATTATCCCAACAAGATTGTCCTTGAAGATTTTCACTAAAAGTAGTTCAATTTGTTATTAAAAAAACCATAATCATTAAAAAAGCTGTGAAAAATAAAACAAATCAAATACCACAATGAAAATTTAGAAAAGCACTGACTAAACTGTCCCTTGTCATAATTCTGGAAGTAAAGCCAAATATGAGGCACACCATCAGCTATTTCTCTGATACAAGTCCCCTAAACAATACCATATACACCTCAGCAAAAAAGTATTCAATTGAAGGAAGAATATAATTACAGAAAAAAAATTTCAGAAAAAACTTTACAGAAGACTAACATTTGAGCAGTGTCCTTGAATGCAACGAGTGCCATCACTTAACACATATTTTGGCGCTCCAGCATAAAGTGAACACTGTTTGTCTGAACCGGTTCGAGGGCGACAACAACGATAGCACGAATCTTTTACTTAAAGACAAACAGATAAGCAAAGAAATTTAGTAAAAAAAAATCTAGTTTAAATTAAAAATGTAATTTCAATTCCACAAAATTTAAAAATTTGTTCGTACGAAGCCACAATAGGCTTGACCAGTATTTCAGATAGTAGACATTTATTGAAAACAGTAGTTAAAATAAATAATGGTTTAGTACCTTCCGGACAAATGCAAGGCTCCATCTCATGACTCTCGCAAAAAGATACACAAGTTCCATTGCGGCACTCACCCTCATCAAAGCACTTAGTTCTATCAGGAAGTGGCTTTGGTTCAGGACACTCACCAGAAAAACCACTAAACAGAATGCCTCAGATAAATAATTACTGGTGGGATTATCATATCCACTCGTCTTCGAAGTCTCAGCTACTAAGTTGGTTAAATAAAAAAAGAGTACACGAGAGCGTCACTGACAATCTCAAATAAATTCGCACTATATTTATTAATTTTTAGTAAGGCGTAAGTAACTAAGATCCATTGACAAAACCTACGTGCAAAATGATGAACCTCTACATAGCAAAGA